TTTGCTCCTACCCATCTCACTTGTGCCAAAATAAGATCAATAAAATGTATATTTAGATTACCACAAAAATATTAAGTGCAACATTTACAATATGAATGCAGTTTTTGTCTTAGCTTTCATAGATTTGTTCATTATAGCCACATAAAAATTTGACTGATCATTGAAAAAATCAAATGTTATAACAATTATAATGAAATTACGGGTACATCTTAGAATCCAATTGACCATGATTATTCAGTTTTCTTTCATCAGTGTTAATATTCTGAAGGAATTTCTTCAATAAAAATTATGCTGCTTCCAGATTTCATACCCCATTATGCCTTCTAATGAAGATAGGTTGTCAAACCACCTAAATTAGATTATATCTTAAGGTCTTATCTTTTATAATTCTATAAAAACCAATCAGAATTCAGTATATTTGTTTCATTTAGTTTTTATTTTTACCGCTACTATTATAATAATTGAATTATTTATATTACTTATCTCCAGTATGTGCAGAAATTAAAAGAACACTATGCAGAGGGTGCCCATGTGGAGAGGAGTCTGTAGTTTAAGCAAATATCCAGGAACGTGAGAAAATCCAAAAACAATAAAAATTTCAATTTTGACTGAAAAATGCAAATATCCTATTGTGTTATTCTACTATACTGACCAAATTTTCATTCTCATTGCCACACTGCTGACACCATGCAACAGCAAGGCTCTAAGGAATAAGCTGCCTCATTAAATATTTTATCTTTACTTGTGTAATGGATAAGCTACTTTATTGTTATTTTGGTATGAAATCATTATTGCAGCATTCATGAAGGCTGTTTTTGTTAAAATATTTAATTTGCTGCACTGTTATAAAAGAGTTCTTTTTGTTGTTCTTGAACAGTGTGTGATCTTCTCAGAAAACCATTTAGTGTGACTTTGCTCAGCATTTTGGCTCCAATGGGCCACTATTATTATTTTTAAAATAAATGACAAGCCTTTTCAGAGGAGTCGACTCCTACATCCTTCATCCTTACGTACATTATATAGTTCTCTGCAGAATTATAATACATCCTAAAGAGCAGACTTGCAGTATTTCTTAATTGTGTAATTCTCCAAATAAATTGCTTTTGAAAATTCACTGCAGTAATGCTCATCAAAGTCTTTAAGTAAATCGTTTGGTATTAGTGGAGGGAGTTATATTAGTAGAAACAAAGAAGCTATCACAAGTGTAATTCTCATTAAGCATGTTATTGTGCCATCAACAAAGGAGAAATGAATTATCATTACTTCCGGATAATAAAAGGCATTAAATGTTATCTTGAGATCATTTATAGTCATATCACTTTAAATCAATTACATTTCAAAAGGGAAATTTATGCCACTCACTACCCACTAGCAAATGCCCAATCTGTATACATCATGACAGGAACTTCGAGTCAAAAACAAGATTTCAACAATACACACTGCACAAGTGTCCTTTCATCTTGTTTCTATTGCAATTTTATATTTTGGGAAGAAAAAGATTTTAGCACAATGCTTATAAATATGCATTCCCAGATGCATCCTCAAAGCAAATAGACAAGTTCAAAATTCAACAAATGTTGTTTGAAAAATGAATTGAAAATAATGAAAATAACTCAGCATTTTTCCAAAGTGACAGAAAGTTTTTGATAGTATACACGCACAAGATACACTGTTAAGATAGTTTACACGCACAAGATAAGTTTGCCAAGCCACATGAAATACTATCGTGCAATATGATATCGTGACAACTACAGTTGGCATTGAAAAGGATAATTGGTAAATGGTGGTAGATACACCATTTCATATTTTGAGACAAGTACAGACTTATCAAATACCTCTCACAACTTAACACAATATTTATGAAGATACTGAAAGGGAAGAAAATCTTAATGATTATTTTTATTTTTTTAGTAGGTTAAAATTTAATCATACAGGTCAAATGTTTTTCAATTTTATTACTTCTAAAAATTATACACTTCAAAATCCATTTCAACATTGTATTTTCATTGGATAACATGTGCATTTAAATAAGAGGTGGATTTCGGCAGACATTTTTATAAAATTGATGTTCAAAACAAATCATAAAAGTAATCAAGGCCTTGTCCAAGTTCCCAAAGAGATATTCCAGTTTCCAATTGTTCACACAACTCGATACGCTTTTGAATAGAGTAGAGAGTTGGGTAAAACACAGTATGCCGACCTTTGTCATCCTTTACCTCAAACATATGCTCTTCGGAAATACTGTCATGCTTCAACTTTCCCTTAACTTTTTTCAATAAACTTATATATTGATGACCAATTATTGGACCACCACCATTTGGTGTGTAATCATTGCCATACAAATTAAATCCTGTTAAAATTTTATTTCTCATGTCATTTTGTTCAGGTGCAATGCTTTGTATACAACTTTTAACCCATGGCCAAGGACTGTTAGGACCAGGTCGCATTGGATTAGAGAAATCATATGTCATAAGTGAAAAACTATCTACTGAATCACTCAATGTTTTAAAATATTTTTCTGTAAATGCACTTGGATGATCACTTATTGGTGGAACAACTATGATGCAAATCAATTTTTTTTCTCGCACAGTATTGCAGACAAGTTTTATAAAATCGACAATGGACTCTGGTTTCACCATTCCCACTACCTGGCTCCACAACTCGAAAACAAAACCATCAAAAGAATTGTCTTCTGCCAATTTTACGATGGTGTGCACCAATTCTGTTCGTTGTTTCTGATTACTAATAACTGATTTCAAATTTTCGAGAGACCACCTTTCAAATAAGAGTCTGGGAACAATTTTAATACCTCTTGAACTAGCATTTCGAACATCTTGAATCCACAACTTATCAATGTCATGTAAACCTCCTATAACATATTTGTCCCCTTTCCCTGGCGATATTTGGAGCCAAACAGGAGATATATGAGTAAATTTATTAGCAAATACTTTTGCCACATCGTATCCATGATTGTTCCAAGGTGTAACATAACCTAATACTTGACCCCTGAATCTCTTCGCTGATGTTTGTGAATGATAGGCACCATGTTCTGAAATTATTGATTTCGCTGATGGATCAGACACAACTAATTTCCTCTCAAAAACACTCAAATCAATGCTTCCTTGTTTCACTTTAACTGTCTTATCAGACTTTTTTTGATCACTTTGAGACAGTGTAGCTGAAACAGCGCTAACCAGTCCCATGAAAATGTACAATACTTTATTATTCATTTTTCTAGGCGGTTAAAACAAAAACAAAACTGTTTGCACTAGCACAACCACAATATAGTTTCAATACTTTCGTACGATTATCCCGTACAATCTCCATGTATCGCCGATGTTGACTCTCCACGCGCACCTGAAAACGAGACAAATTACGTATTTCAAATTTTACCCCTTGTCATAACAACTATGAAGGCGCACCGCATTTCCGCAATTGCCGGCTTGTATCATTGAAATTATGATCTAATACAGAGTCTCACCCATATTCAAAACAAAGAATAAGGTTGTCGACTACATCACATTATTGTTATTCCACGTTAGCATTAAAATAGCCACCACGTATCGCTGCATGATAGGTTATGGGTCATATGATAAAAACACGCAAAGCGCTGCAATGGCTGCAATGTGCTGTCAGCTGCGTCAGTTCAGCTGTCAGCTCAGGTATAGTACAATTTATTTAGTCGTGCATTTGATGTAAATCAGCTGTTGCTGTTTCATCCAATCGGAAGTTTAAATGTCGCTAGTGTCGTCAACCTGGGGATATCGACAAATAAATGCTAATAAACACTAGGGTTTATTTAACCATGCATTTGAAGTAAATCAGTGTTTACGGTTTCATCCAATCGAGAGTTTAAACGCCCCCATACTGTAGTGACATTTAAGCTCAGTATGAAGTTACAGTTTAAGCTCACTGAATGAAGCAGCATCATCAGATATGTGTCATGTGCACGGCTAAATAAATCGC